GCCACTCTCCCCACAGATATCCCCTCGACTTCCACAACAATCTACAGATCCTCTCCCACAAACAAGAGCAGAAGCGCCCAGCTTTAAGGCCACGCTTGTTCCCGCTGCACCAACCTTGTGTCCTTCTCTCTGCAGCTTCTGCAGCACAAGCTTGAAGCCATTGAGGCTGGGCTGACCCATACCAAACACCGCATAGCCTCCTTTGGCTTGCCGGAAATTCGGAGCACCACTGGTGCTGGTAGTGTTCAAGACATCCAACTTGCTGTACACATCTCTGACCATGAAATATTTCCCCTGCAGGATAAGAAAGAAGATGGAACAGGATCCGAGCGCAGGAAGCATGCGGGAGCAATGAGCAGCAATGCCAACCTGCACCAGGTAGTGCTCCAGTGTGGTCTCACAGATGCGTCCCACTGTGTAGTTGGCCTTCAGCAGGTCATCATGGATCTGGAACTCCTCCCTGCAGTTATACCTGGAGGAACCACATGCAGAAGGAGGTAAGGTTACCCAAAAACAAACAAGTAGGGTTTTCTTTTTGCCAAAAGCACGGAGAGAGAGAGAGGAGCATGCAACAAAGGATAGAGAGGGTTTGAAATGAACCAAGAAAGGATAGCGTTCAATCTGGAGACAGCAAGAAGGGCTTGCAGGTAGCTGCTGGGACTCACGTGATGACCACTGGTGCCACTTTGTTGGTGATGATGGACTTGGCCTTGCTATTGTGCAGCCCGAGGGTCTGGAACGAGTGGATGCTCAGGGAGCGCTGGTCCTCCATGGTGCCAATGCCGTGCACACTCTCAAAGGCAGAGGCTGAGACCGTCTGCTGAGCCGCGCTGGCGGTCGTGCCCATCATCCACAGGCTGCACAGGGACAGAAAAACAGGGTTGAGGGGAGGGAGGGAGAATGGTAAAGGGAGAGGAATTTTTTCAGCTGCCCCGCACGGCAAGGGGAGGCCCATTTCCGAAGAAACACGAACCCTGCCCTTCCCGTGCTCTCCAATTTCCTTCCCGCTCTCCTTATGGGCTTTCTTCCCCCCTTGTCCTCCAGGCAGGGTCCAGCCCCACCGTGGCTGAATTCCCAGCACGGCTTCTCTGCCATCAGGGCTGGGAAGAGGAGAAAAGGAGAAACCCTGGAGCCAGCCCCCAAAATGTGATGAGTCAGCAGATGGCACTGCAGAGTGACCTGCGGCTTCCCGTCCCGGCAGGACAGCCATTAGCCTCCTGTGCCCCAGCGCGCTCCGCGAGCATGGAAAAATGCTTGAAGAGCAGAGAAATATAGCTAAGTGCTCCAGCTCTCCGTGATTTCCTCCCAGGCTCATTCCCAGCACGCTGCATTTGTTGTTGCACACCGGGATCGCAGCCGGCTTTCCTGTGCACATATAGAGGCACATACATGTGCATGCCAACATGTGTGTGCTCATGCATGCACATCCTCAAGCGTGAACATGCATGTGCCTGCAGACATGTGCCTGCATGCATACAGAGGACTCCAAAGGGGAGCAGAGGACAGCCAGGAGCATCCCGCCACGCTCGGCTGCCCCAGGACAATGCTGTGCCTGTTCTTCCTGTTAAGCCCAGGAAGAAAAAGGCGCTTTTCTTGCTTCTGTAGCAAACGCACAGCACTGGGGCTCGGCTGCATGGACACAAGTGTGCTGGGAGCTGTGCGCTGATGTGTAACCGGCACCCCAACCCACAGATGCTTCTGCAGTCTGCTCGGCTGCCTTGCAAACAGGCTTTGTCACCAAGACCGGATTTTTGGCCGCCTTGTAAAAAGCCACTTCTTTCCTCTAAACCAAAATAAATAAATCCCATTGCTTGTTTGCTACTTGCAAACCATACAGCCCTTCTCCACCAAAAGAAGAGCAGCGCTCCCACTCATTCTGACCTCGCCCCACTGTTTCCCACCGTGTCAGCCCCCACATATGGGTCCAACCCCCACGGCACGGGGAGCTGGCAGGGGCCCAAGGCCAGCACTAACAATAGCCTAAATATAGCGGGTGGGCCCAGCTGCAGGATGCATCTGCCACGGTGGGAGGAAGCGTGCACTTGCCCTGGCTGCCTCATTGTCAGCGGGAAGAGCGAGGACAAACAAACCACTGCTGCACCCCCAGCACTGCACTTCAGTTATGTATTTTAAAATACAGAGAGATTTTTTTAATGTTTTCGGCAGGGAAGCACCTCACTGATCCCGGGCGTCCCACCCAGGTTTTACACTGTCTATAGCGGAACGAGTGCCACGGCCGCTCGTCCTCTGTTAGCACAATACGGCCTCTCCCTGGGAGAAACCCCCAAATTACACCCTTCCCTGCAAGCTGCTCGTTTACAGCTTCCTAAATTAGGACGGCTATGCCATTACCAAAGGCATCGCACTGCTGGGGGAAAGCTTTGTGCCAAGCAGGCCATGGCCCTGAACTGCCCCAAAACCAGGGTTTTAACCCCAAAATGGGAAACGTGCGGTGCTCTCCGGAGGGTCGTGGGGGTGGGCAGGAAGCACCGCCGGATGGAGCGGGGAGCACGCGGCATCACCGGAGGGAGGAAGTGATGGAGCGTGGTGCTGCCCCTGCTCCCTCATCCCTTTCTCCAAAAGCAAAAATACCCGGGGGGGGGAGAGGAAAAAAAACACACACACACACAAAAAAAAAAAAAAAAACACAAAAAAACCAAAAAAAAACAAAAAACGAAGAGATGGGACAGCACACCCTCTCCGATGCAGGGGGGAGCAAACTGGGTTTAGAGCGGTCAGGAAGAAAGCACCGGGAGGCACACTGAGTGGCTTAAAATACGTGTTTAAAAGTTGGAAAAGGGGAAGGAATCAAGGCCATGCTCCTTTCGGGTTGCAAACTGGAGCTGAGCCCGATGACCGTAAGGGTCCCCTTCCTACGGGGTCCCCCCGCAGCAGACTGCGCCGGAAGGAAGCGGCTCGCTTCAGCGCAAAGAAAGCTCAAAGAAAAGGTGAGAAATACCACCGCGGGGCGTCGGAAACGCAGCGCTCGCCCGGAGCTGCTCGGCTCCCAAACCCACCGAAACTAGCCAAGCCCACAGCGCTTCGCAGCGGTTCCCAGAAAGCTCGGAGCGGCATCCCGCGGGACAACGACGCGAGAGCAGCCCCGCAGCTCTGCAGGACGTGGCCAGGACTCTCGCCCCGTCGTTTTGCCCCGCGCACGGCGAGGGCTGCACGGGGCTCCCGGCCTGTGGTTCCCCCGGGAGAGCGACCGAGGGATGCAGACCCGAGCATCCCCGCAACCCCCCCGCCCCGCCCTCCCAGCGCGGTACCTGGTGGCTCCGTGCGGCTCAGCGCTGCCGGGGGCGGCTCCGGGCCGGCCCCATGGGGGCTGCGGGGCCCGGGCTGGCGGAGCAGCCCCACGGCCGCCCACCACCTGCGTCCGCGCGTCCCTCCGGCCGTCGGTCCGGGTGCGGGGCGGGGCGGCGGGACGGGTTTAAGCGGCCCCGCTGCGGTCCGGCTCCGCCCGCTGCCGCCCGGCTCCGCCCGCGTCCCGCCGTGGCACCGCCCCGCTCCCGAGGGCTGAGCCTGGGGCTGGGGGCGGTCTCACGCCGCGGCCCCCAGGACCCCAGGGAGCGTTCAGCCCGCAGCCCTTGGAGTCGGCACCTTTCCACTTTGGGACCCCACAGCTTACTGCAGCTCCTCGGGGTCTCCCTGGTACTTTGCCAGGTATCCAACCCGTTTCTCCTCGAGGTATCCCCCAGACTGTAGGAGCACCCAGGCCCATTAGGGACCATTACCACACAGCAGTCCCTCGGTCACAGTTCCCATCCCTTGGGGATGCCCTGGTACATTGCCCCCCTATCACTCTACAGCCTCCTGCACATTCATTGGATTGAATTAGAGAGTCATAAAGGTCGGAAAAGACCTCAGATCACTCGCTCCTACTGAGCCACGTCCCCATTCCCTCTCCCCAGGCACCCACCACCTCCTGCACCCATCCCACTCCAGCATCACGGAGCCACCCAGCTGGCACATGTCCTCCCGGATGCCCCAGAACTGAGCTGTACATTTGTTTGTCCTTCCTCTGTAACCAGACAATCCACCTGAAGCACATCGGCCCCACAGGGAGGACTCAGGAGCCTTCCCTATTAGAGACCCGAAATGCCCCGGCTGTGCAGCAGGCACCGACAGCACAGTGCATAAATATTTACAGAAGCCCAACAGGCTGAGGGAAAAGGGAGAAGGAGCTGTCGGTGTCACCAGGAAGGAGGGAAAGGAATGTAAACGCAGCCCGGAGGCAGCCCGAAAATGGTAAAGGCTGGGGAGCAGGGTGTGCCAGCAGCCCCAACACTGTGGAGCACCGAGGGCTTCCCCTGCCTGCGGGAGCCTGAGCTTTGTGGGCCCCAGCAACTCAGGTTTGCAGTCTGGCCTCTGCTCTGCAGCAGACTTCAGGCATCAGTTGAAAATGTGAACCCACAGTGATGCCATGCCCTGATGCTAAATGCATCTTCACGCTGAGCTTGGGGCAAAAATGCATGTCACACCAGCTTGTGGAATGGCTGGGAATTTGCAGTTTACTCAAGTCACACTGCTACGGGGCACTGCTGCAAACTTCTGGGTGAGATGGGGAACCCCAAAGCACCCCTCGCTCTCCTAAAGTTCAGAAAAGGAGGTGAAAAAGTGCATTGGCAGGTATCTGCCCTCTTTCCCTGCTCCAGAAAACCTTTTATCCTCCTCCAACGAGCTTTCCTTTCCTTGGCTGAATAGGGAGCCAGTGAAGGCCTCTGAAGCACCTTTCCACCACGTCTGTTCCAGCGTTACACCTGGTTTTGGAAGCCACCATCAGAAAAAGCACATTTTGGATCCTTCTGGAACAGCTTTTTGACACAGCGCCTCGTGGTCATGCCATCTGCTGGGATGTCCCCAGCGGGACTTTCCTTGGTAGCTCTCCAAGGAAACCTCCATGCCCCGCAGATGCTTCTGCCCTGCAAACATCCTGCTTTAGAAGAGCAATCACCACGTGGATAAATGGGGCTAAGGCCAAAGAAACCCCACACGTGTCACTGTCGTAGAACCAAGATCTTTATTGACCTCACTGTAACAGCAACCACCGGTGGGAGCTCTCCTCCTCCCGTGCAGGAGACAGGAAAACTAAAAAACCCACCGACAACCCTGAACAGCAGAGAAGCTGCCCCAAGACGCCGGGCACTCCTTGCTTTTCAGCCAGAATCCCGTTTAAAACAAAACAAAAAGAGAAAAATAATCAGTAGAAAGTCGTAGAAACGTCGTAGAAAGCTGTAGAAAGTTCGCTTTGTCCTTGATTGTTTTTTTTCTTGGCTCGCAGAGCAGCTGTCCCAGAAGGCACCGCGTGGCTGATGGCCATCACCTTCCCCACGCTACACTGCGTCCCCTGGCTGCTCCGGGGCCGTGCCTGACCTCCGAGGGCCAGCATTTTAAGGAAAAATATATTTCTCTCTATATAACATATATATCTGTGTGTGTGTCACAAGCACTCAGCCGCACGCGCATCGTACTTCCACTCGCACTCGCTTGCTCACAGCATCCCAAAAGCACCTGGCGATGAAGCCCACCCCAAACCCCATGGCACAGATTGGGGTTTGAGGGAAGAGACGCTGCCGCTCAGCCTTCCCTTCTCCCCGTATCGTGGTTGTCCCTCTTTTTAGTACCAAAAAGTGGAAAACTGAGGGCTTTGTGCCACGTGTGGCCCCTTAGAAATTGGGAGCCCAGGTGCCAGAGGGGACTAATCTGGACCCGAGAGTTTGCACTGCACAGAGGTGCCGGCGCCTTCCCAGTGCCGTGGCTGCTGAAACTTCCCAGGGAAGGCCCAGGATGGGAGCCCAGCGGGCAGCACCTCCGTTTCCAGGCACTGTTCCTTAAGACCAGTTAAGAGAAGGGGATGGAGCGGGGCGATGCGGCGAAAGACCCAAACGAAACGGGAGGGAAAAAACAAACAAAAAAAACAACAACGGACCAATAAACGGGGCAATGGCGAAGGAGAGCAGCGGTCGCCTGGTCAGATGTCCATCTCGAACTGCGCGTCGTCCCCTGCAAGAGACACCAAGAGAGGCACGTGGGCATCCCACGGCTCGGGGACGCCCGGGAGGGGCCGCCCGCTTACCGGCCGCTGGCTTGCCGTCCTGACTGCTGGGGCTGGTGGGCTCGGCCTTGGGCTCGTCGCCGGCCCCGGGGCTGGTGACGCCGGGGATGTCGGGCAGCTGGCACGGCGGGGTCTGCGCCATGGGCGAGTTGCGGCGCTCCAGAAGGAACTTACGGTCGTAGATGATGCGGGTGCCTGCGGCGGGAGGGCCGGGGGACGCGTCCGTGTCTCCTGGGCGCTCTCCCCCGCGGCGTGCCGCCTTTAGGGACCCCCGCCGACCCCGAACCCCTCCGCCCGCAGCCTCACCCCCTCCGGGCGGCACGGCCTAGCCTCCCTCCGGGGCCCAGCCGCGGGGAGCGTTGAAATCCGGGGCGCAGTTTAGGGCTTCACGCTCTTACCTCCCGGCGTGGTGGAGAAGAGCGTGCCGCCGGGCGTGGTGCAGCAGCCGGGCGGCAGCGAAGCGGCGTCTCCGTGCGGCGCGGGGCGGGCAGGGATGGCGCGGCTCTGGCTGTGCTGGCGGCCGCCCGCCGACGCCATGGCCCCGCGCTATTGTCCCCGCGGGGCGGGGCCGCGCCATCCCCGCCCGCCGCCACACGTGGTCCGACGGGGAGGAGGGCTCCCGGCTCCCGGTTCTCGCCCGGGGAACCCGGGTTCGGCTCCCGGCGCGGGGAGCGGAGCCACGTGGCTCGGTCCGCACGGTTTTATCTCGGACGGGAGGCCGCCGCAGAGCCCTCGCCCTCCCCGCCGCCGCACGCGAAGCCCCGCTCCCGCGGAGCCCCGCGGATCCCGCGGATCGCACCCCCCCGCCCGCCCCAGCAGAGCACATGTCCCAGCGCTTTATTTTTAGCAGCGGGGAACGCCGCCTCCGTCTCGCCCGCGGTGTCCCCCCCCGGCCGCCCCCATGCAGAGAAGGATGGGCGAGGCGGTGGCCCGCGTGGCCAGGAGGGTGAACGAGACAGTGGAGAGCCAAGGCGACACGCTCGGTAAGGCCGCAGCCCCGGCGGGGTGCCGCGCCGCTCCGTCCCCGCACCACGCCGGGGTGCGGCGGGGCCCCGCCGTGCAGGAGGGCCGCGTGTTTGGCAGCCTGGGGCTGGGCGCTGTGCAGCTGCCCCTGCCGCTCACCCGCCTGTCCCCGCAGACCTGGCCGACTGTAAGCTGGTGGCTTTCCCCGCCGGCATCTACAAGGCGGTGCGCAGCGTCACGCAGGGCATCCACCGCATCTCGCTGGCTAACAACGAGCTGAAGGCTCTCGGCGCACGCTTCGCCATCACCTTCAGCCAGCTGCGAGGTAAGCGCGGGCCAGACTGCCGTCACAGGACCGCTGAGGTTGGGAAAGCCTTCTCAGCTCACCCAGCCCACCGCCCACATCCCTCAGTGCCACATCCCACGGCTCTGGAACGCAGTTGTTGGAGGGCAGCCGGCCCGCGACATGGGAGTTGGAGTGCAGTGATCTTTAAGATCCAAGCCAAGCCATGCTATGATTCTATGACACTCCCCAGCACCTCGGGGTCTTTTGTGTAGTGAGGAGACAGGCTGTCAGCACACCAGCCTAGAGCAGATCTGTGTTACGTACAGCTCCGCACAGCAGCCCTGGCTGCTGGAGGAGTCCCCCGCCGGGAGCTTTGCTGCAGAGAATGGAGGATCAGCTTTGTTCCCCTTCCAGAACTCAACCTGGAGGGCAACCTCCTGCACCGCCTGCCCCAGGAGCTGGGCTCCCTGCTGCACCTGCGCACCATCAACCTCGCCCACAACAAGTTCCGGCACTTCCCTGAGCCCCTGGCGGCTGCCCCTGCACTGGAGAGCATCAACCTGGAAGGGAATGAGATCACAGGTGAGAAGGAGGGGGCTGGCGAGGAAAAGTGGTGGATGTGACCATCTCACCACCCCTCGGGGCTCCTCCATTTAAAGGCTAATGGATGTATGATCCACTGGGTTACTGTAGAGCCTCCAAAGGCTGAGCTTTTTGTGTGATTTATGAGCTTTTTTTTTTACATTTACCTCTTCTTCACTGTGCTCAACAGTAGAGTTAAGGAGAACCCATTAGCATGAGCTTAGCCAGCACACATCTTCATTCTCCTTGATGGCCATGCAGGCTTTGAGCCCTCTGCTCGCTGCTATGACTGGTAGAAGACCACCATCATCTCTGTCTTTGGAGATGATGCTGAAGCACCTGAAAGTTCATCCTCATGCTGTTATCTAGCAGCATATCATGTCTTAGTGGTGTGGAGATGAAGGTTTGTCCACGTTTTATGACTCAGGACCCAGGTTGCACCACTCAGCTCCATAACAAACTGAGTATCTTGCTCCGGATAAAAGCATGGTAGCCTACAGAAGGTGATGGAGGTTGATTGGTGGTGGCTTTGTATACCAGTTTTTGGTGCTGCCATCCCAACCACACATAGTTCCTGGTTCTGCCCGTTCCCTTCTGCTGCACTGGAGACAAAACTGCTCTCAGGGCCAAATCAGGTTCAAGATATCTGCTGGAGGGGATCTCAGTCTTCTGGGAGGCGCTGAGCCACAGCTCAAGGCAGCGGGTGATGTTCTCTAGGGAAACAGGAGGATGAGCACATCGATTAGTGCCTGCCTGCAGCCCTAGGCTCCGGAAAGAGGCCGTCAGTGCTGCCAGCCACCCTTTCATCTCAAGGAGCTCTTAACCTGCAGAGTAGTGATGCATATATTAACGTCAGGGCTCTTAACCCTTTCCCTGCTCCTTGCAGTGATACCACAGCATTATTTTTCATGCTAGGGGTGATGCCACCAGGCAGCTGCACACTCCCCGGTTGGACCATCATTGGTTTCCTCCGATGCCTGCTGATTCCCCAGCAGCCTTTCATCCCAGTGAGCTGGATTTTTTCACTGTTATCATTATATTCTGATCAAAGAAAAATTACCACTGGCTTTAATTATCAAAGAGGCTTCTTGCTTTCTTTCTTGCTGTGTTTTAATGCCTGTTTTCTCCTTTCCACCCGTTCTGCTTGGTAAAGCAGGACAAGGAGGGGGAGCAGCTGGCAGCAGGGTGCAGGCAGCTGTAAGCATGGGCACTACTGCTGCTCCTTGCTGCCCATGCATATTGCCATGAGCAGCACCAGGCTTTGCAGCTTCATTTAACCTGTTCTATTTTTGTTTTGTTGTTGTTGTTGTTTTTTAATAAAAACACCCCTTCACAAATCCTGTTCCTTTTGTTCCCCCTTGCAGAGGTGCCAACAGAGGCACTGGCCACCATGTCCTCACTGCGGAGCCTCAACCTGCGTGCCAACCCTGTGTGCCCTGCTGTACGCCTTCTCGTCCAGCCCCTGGTCCCCTTTGAGCTGCTGCTGTCACCTGAGGGCAATGCCCCCACTGCCTGACATGACCCTGCTGCCTGGTGCCTGGAGGAGTGCCCCCTGGCCCATGAGCTCCCCGTGGCTTCCAGCTGCTGGCACGATGTGCCCAATGCTTGATTAAATGTGTTATGTGCATTGTGTTTGCTGCATTGATGGATTATTGGTTGCCAGCAATGGGCTGGAAGGAGCCCAAGTCCCCACAGAGTCCCTGTGATCAGCACACGTGTGTACATGCGTTCAGGGTGGTGTCCCAGGGTCTCCTCATAGCTGCAAGGAGGGTGCCAAGGGACTGCGAGGATGTCACGGAGAGGATGCTGAGGGGGCTCTGAACAGGATGCAGGGGGATCACAGCATGGTGCTGCGGGGCATTAGGAGGACCTTTAGCTCCCAGGCACTGGAATGTAGGAGGGAAAGCTTTCCCTGCATCCTCTGCCAGGAGGAAGCATGCTGGGGGATTCCCCCAAGGAGCCGTGGAATGCCCATGACCACACAGGGCAGCATGACTTCTGGACTTGCCTTGCCCTACAGACCCAGGTGTGACATAGTGGGGGGGAGGCAAGGGGATCTGAGCAGCCACATCTGCAGCGCTGGGGGCGAGCAGAACTGCTCCAGCTCCAGCCTCCAGCCGACTGAGCCGCCTGTGGGTACCCCAGTATCCATGGAGATGGGAGGATGCTTTCCCCCCCTCCCCCCTTTCCTTCGAGCCGCTGCCGCATCCGCAAGCAGTGGTGACGGCGGCACAGGAGCAATGCTCAGCGGCGGGGACCCCCGGCTGGAGGAAACCTCCTTCCCCACCTCCCGATGCAGGCGCTGCAGCACCCGGAGCCAAGCAGGGGTGAGTCGCAAAGCAGGGATCCCTTTTCCTCCTTTCATTGCGGTTTTTCCTTCCCCATCGACCCGGGGATGTCCCCACCGCCGAGGAGTGTGAGGAGGACGCATTCCCATCCAGCGCAGAGCCTTTTATTCTCAGCTCTCCTTCCACTTCCCTCTCGGAGCATCCTCTTATTTCTCACCCGGTAACGTTGCAAGGGATTGCAGTCCAGGGTGATAAAGTCAGGCAAAGTTTTGGGCTTAATATAGGTATTAGGAAATGCTGCTGAGGGCTCTGCTGCTGCCCAGTCCAACATTTCCCTTTTCCTGCCTGAAAACTGCAGCCAATGAGCATGCAGGGTGACTCTCCCCCTGCTCAGCAGCCTCCCACATCCCTGCCAGGGACCGGTGCATGGATCTGTTCCCCCAGTAGGTCTGCAGTGGCAAAATGACGTTCCCCCATCCAGCAGGAGCTCTCCTGGCTGCAGGTAATTATAATAATTATGTATAATTAAGGCTGCATGTGGAAGAGTACAGGGGGTCCTCCTACCTGGATACTCCTGCATCTCCTGCATGGTCTGAGCACTGTAGTGCAGTGGGAGGTGGACTTCTCACCATGCCCTGCTTTCCTTGCATGATCCCTAGGAAAACCCCTGAGAACAAGATTCCTGCCGGCCTTCTTTAACCTTTCATCAAAAATTAATTCTGAGCTTTGAGGAACATCCACACCACCGAGCCATCCCACCTGCTGAGCTAACCCAGCCGCATGTGCTGGAAGGAGAGACATGGCTGGGACTTCCCACCTCTGAGGGCATTAGGAAAAGAAGGGAACCATTGCTTCACTCCCTTCCATCTTCATTTTTCTGCTTTCCCTTCCTTAGACCCCTCCAATGGCAGCTGGGCTAACGCCAGTGAGAGCTACCTCCTGAAGGAAAATTACACCTTCTTGGCATACTACCAGCACTCCTCACCTGTGGCTGTGATGTTTATCCTAGCCTACACCTTCATCTTCCTCATGTGCATGATTGGCAACATCCTGGTGTGCTTCATAGTGGTGAAGAACCGTCAGATGCGGACGGTCACCAACATGTTCATTCTCAACCTTGCCATCAGTGACCTGCTGGTGGGCATCTTCTGCATGCCTACAACCCTGGTGGACAACCTCATCACAGGTGAGCAGGGCACGGGGCGAGACTTGATGGGGAAGGGAAGTGTTGAGAGACACCATCCACCTTCTTCTTGCTCTCCCTAGGAGGCCACTTCCAAAACTCTCTCCCATTTTTTGTGCTGAGTTCAAGGAGGGTGGCAGGTGGGCATTCAGATATATCTGATGGAGGTTCAAAGTCATAAGGCTGCTTTCCATTATATTGAGTGGAACAAGCCATAGCCAGGGCAGAGTATTTATGTATTTATTGCCACATGCAATTTATTAATTGTGGCCCCATGCCCAGGCAAGGCAGGGCGTCACATCCTCCTGCTTCCAAGGGGCCACAGGGTCTTTTCCCACTCCACCGCGTTTCAAAGGTAAAAAGGGGTTGGGTGGCATTTTGGCTCCATGATATCATCTGTGTCCCAATGCTGTGCCACACCTTAGTAGGGAAAACTAATTAAAGCCCAGCAGATCAAGGACCCAAAGGTCAGTCTCTCTGATAACAGCTGGAGTCCAACAGAAACCTTGCTATACAAGCTTCTGGAAAGTGTAATACACATCTTTTTTTTTTTTTTTTTTTTTGGTACTGCTGAAGTCCATGTCTGTATGAATAAGAAGAAAAAAATACAGCTCCCCCTCTTAGGACCAGGATTTACCATCACATGGTGGATGGGGACACCTAGAGGGAGTTGCTGATGGATGTTGATGAGCCAAACGTGTTCAACCTCAGGAGTGATGTGGGGGGAACACGGGGACAGGGACCAGCCCACTATTCCCAACACTCCCTCTGTGTTTGCAGGGTGGCCCTTTGATAATGCCATGTGCAAAATGAGTGGCCTGGTACAGGGCATGTCTGTCTCTGCTTCTGTTTTCACGCTGGTGGCCATCGCGGTGGAGAGGTACGTTGGGATGGGGGGATCCTGACACCTCATCCTGCATGCTGTTTGGGCAACTCCCAATGCACGTAAGACTCCAGTCCCACCATGGGGCTACCTTCCTTCCTTTGGGGTATACCATCGTGGGCATGGCCCTCTTCCCAAGCTTAGACACCATGCAGCACCACATCCCCACTCTCTTCACCTCCCAGTTTGCTCACAGACATGTGGTGATGGTGAACTGGAAACTCAAAGAGCCTCCAGGTCAAAGCTATGCTAATGCACCTGGCTGCCTCCTTGAGGTGTGATAAGGAGGTCCCACCAATCCCACAGGTTTCGCTGCATCGTCCACCCCTTCCGGCAGAAGCTGACGCTGAGGAAAGCCCTGGTGACCATTGCCATCATCTGGGTGCTGGCCCTGCTCATCATGTGCCCCTCTGCCATCACCCTAACTGTCACCAGGGAAGAGCACCACTTCATGGTGGACACCTACAACAACTCCTACCCACTGTACTCCTGCTGGGAGGCCTGGCCCGAGACAGAGATGAGGAAGATCTACACCACCATCCTTTTCTCCCACATCTACGTGGCACCCCTTGCCCTCATTGTTGTCATGTATGCTCGCATCGCCTTCAAGCTCTTCAAGTCAGCAGCACCTGCCCGCAGCACCCGGCCTGAGGAGCCCGAGGGGAGGAAGGTGTCCCGTAGGAAGGCCAAGGTCATCAACATGCTCATCATCATGGCCCTCTTCTTCACTCTCTCCTGGTTGCCCCTCTGGACACTGATGCTGCTGACAGACTATGGTAACCTCAGCGAGCGCCAGCTGCACCTGGTCACCGGCTATATCTTTCCCTTTGCTCACTGGCTGGCCTTCTTCAACAGCAGCGCCAACCCTATCATCTATGGATACTTCAATGAGAACTTCCGACGAGGCTTCCAGGAGGCCTTTAGGGCCCCTTTCTGCTTGCCACCACGCCGGCGGCACCGTGGGCCCTATGGTGCCCGCAACCGTGTCTTCACCCAGCCCCAGGCCAGCGACTCTCCCCCCCACTCGGAATCGAGGCCGCTGGCATCCCGACGGGCTGGCATCCCTGCATGGAATGGCTGAGCAGCTGTGGCCACCAGTTTGTCTGATAGATGTGGGTCTAGATGGGGACCTCGTGCATGGCAATATACTAGGGAGGAAACCCCGTATTGTTGTGGGTTTGGGGTCTTGATGTGATGATTAGTGAGTGTCCAACCCAAGGGCTTGTTGGGGAGTGGAAGGGAGTAGGGATTTACAAAGTTATTGAAATAAAGGCACGACCTGCTGATGTCATGTCTTTAAGTCCCCCGTTTACCCAGCCCATGCCAACCATTGTGGAGTGCGCGGCAGTGGGAGAGAAGATCCATGCGTGGGCTGTTCCATACTATCCTGGGCCATGCCCAGAGGAACTACATCGTGTTGTTGTGGCCCTGTGCTGCCATACGAAACTAGGTCATACCACGCCATGCTGCTATGGCCCTACTGGACTGTGCAATCTCTTGCGGCCTTGGTGGATCATGCAGTTGTGGCCACAATGTGCCAGACCTTACTACGTTATTGTGGCCATGCTGGACACTAGCGTGTGGTTGTGGCACTGGTAGACCATGCCACCTCATGCTGTCATGGCCACGCAGTGCTGTGCCACGCTGAATCACGGCACTGCCTTGTGGCCAGGCAGTACCATGCCACAGCAAACTACGCTATCCTATCCACAGCCCGCAGGCTGCGCTATACCACCCACGCCTTGCCAGCCCACGCCACTCTGCATGCACACGTCACCCTGTGCCACGTCATGCTACCGCACAGTGGCAGGGCAGCAGGACGGCTCTTTGCGCCTGCGCGGTGGGCTCGCGGGAGGGGCTCTGGCCACTAGGGGGCGGGGCTATACGAGAAGGGGGCGGGGTAACGGGCCGAATGGGGGCGGGGTTGGCGCCGATGGGCGTGTCCAGACAGAGATGGGCGAGGCTACGGGCCTGGGGGGCGTGGCTGAACACGGGGGCGTGGCTACGGCCGTAGGGGAGCGCGAGCTGCGGCGCCTGCGCAGTGAGCCGAGCAGGCGGCGGGGAGCGTGTTGCAATGGCGGGGTACAGCGTGGAGGAGCGTGCCGCGCCGCACAGCCTGGAGTACCGCCTGTTTTTCAGTGAGTGTGACTGGCACCAGACCCCGGCTCCCCACGTCCCTTCTCTCATCCTCTTCTAACCGTCGTTTCCCCTCGCCCTCAATGGTGCGCTCACCTTGGGCGGACCCCAGGCCCTAGGGGCTGCCCCGCTGAGCGCCGCGCTTTGCCTTGCAGAGGACGCGGCCGGGCGGTACATCTCCCCCTTCCACGACATCCCGCTGTACGCGGACGCCGGCAAGGTGAGGGGACCGCCGGGGTTTGGAGGTAGGGGGTGGTCATGGGGAAGGCAGAGGGGCTGCAGAGCTGAGGGCACCCTCCAGAAAGCAGTTGGAGCCGTCCCGACGTTGCTTTTGGCTGCTCGGAGAAGAAGAGGCGGACTACCATCAAGGACAGCGATACGCTGGTCTTCATAAGCAAATACCGTGCTCCAAAGGTCCTCAGAGCAGGAACATTTGGGTGGTGCTGTGCTCTGCAGGTGCTACTGGAGCAGAGCAACGTGGTTACAGGGGTGCGGTGCTGCCCACAGGCTGGAAGGCTGCACAGGGACGTTTCTCACTTGGCGGGTTTGTTAGCAGCACCAGCCCGTCTCACTGTGTCTGAGCACCTTGATCTTTCTCTGCAGACTGTAAGCTAGAGAGGATTACTGGAGGGAGCTTTTCCAGCCGTGGGCTGGGAGGTGCTGACCTCATCCGTGTGTCCTGTCTGAGGGACTGACCTTGAGCTGCCTGCTGGGTGTCTCACCCAAGCCAGGTCCGTAGCTTGAGGCAGCAGAGCTGGGGTAGAGGTGTGCAGAGCCCCAAGCATCCTCTACCTGCACAGCCAATTCTTCATTCTCTGCAGCTATGTATAAACAAAACTAATAGCTATCCACTTTCATTTTAATTACACGTGGGAAGTGACCCCCTGCATATGCAATGAACTTGTTAGGAAGGGGTGCGAGCAAAGTCAATGACATAACAGTGCTTGTTACACAATAGCAATCTAATTTTGGTGCTATATTCCCTGTCTAGTATTACCTTTGTAATGCTAATGCTGCTTAACCTGGGAATTAGAAGCCTTGGGGATGCTAAGGGAGTAAGGTTTGACAGTTAAAAGCCATAATCTCTTTTGATAGCAAATGTTAAGGTTCAAGTATGAAACAGCTGTTTTGTGGTTTTTTTTTTCTCCCGAGGAAGAAGGGACCGCGTCCCCTCAGCACAGCTAGAGACAGGACTCACCCATAAGTGAGATGCTGCACAGCATGGCTGTGTTTCCCCCAACAGCCCTATCCCTGTACGTCTTGACACAGAATGTCCCCTTCTGTAAGAGGAGGGAGCTCAAACACCTGGGAAATGATGTAAGGCTGAGCATTGCACCCATGCAGCTGTCACTGATCCACTTAAGTTTCCTGTTTTGCAGAAAGGTAACACAGACCTTTCACCTGCTGCCACCTCAGAACACCTGCAATCTAGGTTATCTGCATGAGATTAACATTTGAGTAATGATGCAATGGACTGGACTGCAGGACATCTATCAGGATTATCAGGATTGACACTAGGAAAAAAAAAAAAAAACAACAAAGTTTTGTTTTTCACACTTACTTACATTGTGCTCTACTTTGAAGTGTGGTATTGAGATTTCACCTGTTCATGGATGTTTTGCCTTCTTCAGAATGTGTTCAACATGGTCGTGGAAGTACCTCGGTGGACAAATGCTAAAATGGAGGTAACTGTTTTGCAGTTCCAGGCTGAAATGCTTGAGCTGAGTAGGCTGCTAACCCCAGGCTTTGCCTGCTCTCCCTGCGGGCTCCAGGCTCTGCAGCCTGTAGGTTAGAACTCGCTTCATAGAAAAAGCCACTGATTTCCTAGAGAGCCAGATACAGAAAATTATGAAACTTCTCTTTCAGATTGCAACAAAGGATCCCTTAAACCCAATTAAGCAAGATGTGAAGAAGGGAAAACTGCGCTACGTAGCTAATGTGTTTCCCCACAAGGGCTATATCTGGAATTATGGTGCTATCCCACAGGTACTGGATGTGTCTCACTCTTCAGGTGGGGGAGGTTGTGTGCCTATGTGTGTCTCTGACACCATTTCATGAGAGAGTAGAGTCTGAAGTGGAATGCTGTATCTGCAACTGTACATATAATCCTGCTAATGAGGAGAACCTGTCAAGAGAGCAGTGATGTTTGTGGGTAGAAATCTCTAGAGGCAGGCATGTAGGCACTGTGAAGAAGCTGTTGTGATAACAAGTAGCTGCTGCTTCGCTCCTCACCTTGGGTTCAGCCACAGAAGTCGGTGTTCATCTTTGGGCTCAGGATGTGGTTGCTGCACAAGAGAGCTGAAGGCTCACAGTGGGTATCTGGCAGTTCTGTGTGCTTCATTCCTGTGTGGTGGAGCAGCAGGACCTAAAGCTGCAGTATAGAGCCTTGGTGTGCAGCCCCCAGGCTGGATTATCTCAAAGACCCTGTGTGCTGCGAGTTAGCAACCAGTGAATTGTCCTTTTGCTCCTGATCAGAAACATGCTTTAAGCAGCTGTTTTCAGAGGCTCAGCTCCAGTATCTCCTGGAGCCTGGTGTGACTTCAAACACTCGCTGCTCCTGCTGAGATGCAGAAAGACACCAAGTAGCATAGGGTGTGGGACTCACATTCCTACTTCTGCTCTGCTGCCTTCAACTGCTTAACTAAAAGGAAGCAATACACACGTCTGTCTTCCACCTCTGTTATCTGGGGTTCAGGAAACTTCTGTTAAGAAATGAGTAAGGATAGGAACAGGCAAGAAGCCAAATCAGTGGGCATTCTTTATAGATGTGAACTTCACCTTTATGTGGCTTTTTAATTTGAGAGGAAGTCTGAAACGTTGTTAAAGGGTTTGTCAGTGGGAAAGACCAGTTTACCCTTGGCAGGATAAGAACTTGGCTTGAAACTGCATTTACAGGCAACCATAAAACAGTAATGCAATTGCTAGATGTAAAAGCAATTGTGGGGTGGACCATCATCTGTATCTTCAAGGCAATTGCATGCATGAAATAAACCTGCCTTTTGCTTCTTCTTGAGTCCCTATTCAGCATATGGAGAGATTTGTTTGTGGTTTTTTTGCTGTAGTGTTTTTTGGTTTTTTTTTTTTTTTTTTTTTAAATTATTTCCTGTAGACTTGGGAAGACCCAGGCCATACGGATGAAAACACTGGCTGCTGTGGAGACAACGATCCGATTGATGTATGCGAAATTGGAAGCAAGGTAATACATTCCAGAGGGTAACTGTAATTAATGTCCCTGAAATCAATTGCTCAGAGTCATTATTCATTTCTTGCCACCTGTATCTTAAGAACATGATGTTTCTTCCCCCTGTCTCCAGAGATTGTTGATGAGATCTTACAGTGCAAGCCCCATGAGCTTAGGCTCATGAGCTGCTGATAAGAGACAGCTGCCTTCGTGGTGTGGGACTGCTTGCTGCGCTCTGACAACTTGTACCAACTCCTTTGTGCATTCCTTGAATGTGTACAGAGAACTCTTTTGTCATTGTAGGTCTGCTCACGAGGAGAAGTGATTAAAGTGAAGGTGCTAGGCACACTGGCACTGATTGATGAGGGAGAGACAGACTGGAAGATAATTGCTATCAACATTGAAGATCCTGAAGCAGAAAATTATAACGGTAGGGAGGAACATGTCTAATACTTCCTTTCCTACCTTGAATGTCTGCAGGAGACTTTTGGGTTAGCATCTGGACAGATGCAATACAGACCATAGTAGCAGAATAGGATGTTAAGCTCTAGCAAAACACTATACTATTTACACAAATTAAGACCTTTGCATAGCCGGGGGTAATGCTATAATATGATAGAAAGTATAGCAATGATAGCAGAGTGGCACAATGCTAGGTTGTAGTAAATAAGAACAAGCCCAAATATAACAGCTGTGACTGCAGAAATAGAGGAAGAAAAACTACTTACCCTTAGAATGCCTCAGGTACACAGGGATCTTCAGAGAGCTGCCCTTACCTTCACTGCTAACTCTTAAATGAGGTCTGGGAAGGGGTGGAGCCAGGATCCACCCCTCTCAGTCACTCAGGAGCATTGCATGCACCTGAGCTCCCCTGGCTTGGCCCTGCCTTCCCACCAGGTGCTCAATCTGGTTCCAGCTGTGACTCAGCATTTCTGATACACACAGTATC